GTAAGCTAGGGATGTAATACTGTAGTTGACTAACTGATTAACCAATAAGCAAAAGCTTATAGGTTAATGTTATAGACTACATGCATTTCCAACTCCCCCTCCCAGTACATTTACCACCAGGCTGGCCAGCAGCTCGGCTCTGTTTTGGCTCACCCCGGGTGCAGGACCTACCCTTGTTGTGACTCTGCATTTAAAGTGTATTAGGAGCCGGGCAGGCAAGCAGCCTGACTCAGTTCCAGTTTCACTGGGCCCGTGAGCTCAGACCACATTTCGCCGCAGACAGGGGCTGCTGCCACCTCATGCTGCTTCCTCTTTATCAGCAGCAACAGCACAAGGCAACAAGCAGCTGGTCCACAAGAGGAGCTGGTTTTTAAACTGGCTCCCCTCCTGGACTAGCTCCCGCCTTGCACCCCGTGCTGCTGCTGGCCCCCTCGATAATTCATGAGGTTACTCGACTACTAAATTAACCAATATTTAACATCCCTAGTATAAGCAGTGCAAGATGATGATGCAAGGCCTACTTGAAAGAATAAGACATCATAAGGAAAACAGTTTATTGAGAGAAAATCATGTACATATGGCCGAGTGGATCAAAAGATAGTAAAATAATTAAAAAATAAGGAGTCCTGTGGCATCTTAAAGATTAACAGATTTATTTTAGCATGAACTTTCATGGATAAAAACCCAATACATCATTCTTCAAGACTGTCTTTTAGTGTAAGTGATCTGAGAAGTGAATTCCCAATCTATTTACTATATTGGATGTTGCTAGGGAAAAAAAAAGTTTGGCTTAGTTAATCCTTATGACTTGTTAGTTAACTAGGTTTAGAATCTATCACTCGAGTATACAATACAGAAAGCTGCAGTAAGAGAAATCTAGAGTTGCCAATATCATTTTCTTATTTTATATTACATAATACATGCCCCTTATTTTGGAACATCCTGGCCACAGACCATAATGGTGAACCCATAAGTCTATTCCCTATTTTACTTCAGCGTAACTCAGCTTTTCCAAGGAAAACCCATTCTACACTTATTTTCTCAAAAAACACAAGCGCCAGTGAGTTCAATGGAGCTTATGCCAAATGAAGTGCACTCCAATCACAGTCAGTCTTAGTTTTCACGGTAACTTGATTTAAACCAATGATTTTTTGGTGATTTAAATCAGCGCACCCTGGTTTGAATGGAAGTTTTTTAAGATAGTTGAGTGCTGGGCTGAGGTTTCAGGCTAAGTTCCCTCTAAGCTGCATAGATGCCTATTAAGCCCTGCACAGAGGCTCACAGCTATGGTGGGGAAAGATGCAGCATAAAGGAAAAGTACCCTAAACTGGAGCTGTCCCAGACTTGCTACAGATGGGAGCAAGGTGTGGCCCCGATCAAAACCTAGTCATGTCATGGACTTGATGCAGATGGAAAAGAGACACTCTGGCTCCAGTGCAACAGGGACCCACTGTAGCCAGGTGACAGGCACCCATTCCACATCTCCACAGAGTCTAACTCAGACATGCTACAAACCCTTCCCCTAGCCTCACTGGAGCTGCCCTAGTCATGGAGAAGCCACTCTCACTTGGCCCTGAGCTGCTGCAGTAAGGGGGATGGGACGAGTCCTCTTCTTGAGGGCAGTCTGTACTCCAAACCCCTCATGCCTAGCTCCATTCCAGAGTCTGCATCTGCAGCCAGAGCCCTTGCCCCCGTACACCCCAACCCAGAGTCCCCTCCCACACTCTGAACTCCTCAGCTCCACCCGTCACACACTGTCTATATGTGGAATGAATTTTGTTATATGCACCAATACAGACGTGATTTATCACACGCAAAAAATTAGAGGGAACTCTAGTCCCAAGTCAGGGAGGGGTCTCTAGTCTGTGGGAGGGTATAGAGATTCCTGAAATCCTTAGCAAACATAAATGATACAAGATTAGCAAATACAGAAAAACCCTTTAAAGTCAGATGAAAAGCTGATACAGGTTGAAACTCTTAACTGGGATTCTCTGGTCTGGCAACATCCATAGTCTAGCACAGATGCTGCAGGACCAGAAAGTCCCAGTGGAGGGCCAGCTCGTTGGGTCCCGGAGCCACGGTGCATGGCTGCACAGTGGGTCTTGGAGCTGCTGTACTGATGGCTGCCCAGGGTTTAGCAGGGCCAGCAGGAGGTGGGGAGCCATCCAGAAGACCGGCGGGCCAGGCTAGGGTGACTGGCGGCAAGAGTTGAAAGATGACCTCCTCTGGTCTGACAAAACCCCTCATCCAAGACCTATCAGCTCCTGAGGGTGCTGGAACAGAGAGGTTCAACCTGCATTATAGTTAAATGCACCTTATTTAAGCTAATAACTCTGATTTCCTTCAGATTCATCAGATAATCCAGGATGACTAAAAGATGTACCGATCCAGCCAGAAAATGGTGATGACAGCACCAACAGGCAAATCTCTTCTTTCATCCAATAAATAGCACAGGCTGACTTCCTTTTGCTATTCAACTACTCCTACTGCACTTACTCATAGCAAAAGGATTTCAACCTTCCAAACTATCAAGGGACCACACCCAGAAGGTGGAGAACTCCTAGATCGGGATGAAGCACGCAATGTACATTCTGAGAGAGGTAATAAAGAGTGCCATTGAGAGATGTACACACAGCTGAACCAGGTAAGGGTCTCATGCTTGTCTCACCTTGCTCAGTCTATAAGGATACCCTGATTCAGGATAGAAATAAGTCACCCCCTGCTCAGACCTTCTCTTGAGCAGAAAAGAACATATTTCTTGTTCCTAGAGGCTGCAGAGAGACTCATCTTCAGAAGATTCCCCTCGTTGAACAACTTGATCCCAGCTCCTGTTCGTAGTCCTGTAACTTGTTCCTAGCTCCTATTTGTAGTCCTAGGAACACTGGCTGTGGTGTTCTGAATGCCTGGGAGACATACTGCTGAAATTTGAATCTGATGAACTATGCACCAGTTCCATAGCTTTGGTACACAGAGAGGGGAATAGCCTTTCTGTTTGATGATACAGAACATGCAGGGATAGATTATCTGTTATGACCCTGACTGATCTGCCATGATGAGGCATTAGAAACGTGCCTGACAACCTGAACTCAAACAGACTGATGTGGAGATGGGGTAGATGGACTAAGGATGTCAGTATCGGCTAATTCTGTCAACTACATGCATCCTGCAGACAGGCATTGCTGCCACCCTGCACTGCTGGCTCTGTATAGAGAGGCAGCAGTGCAGGGTGACAGGGGGCTCCCTGGGAGTGGGGCAAGGAGCACACTGGCTGTTGGCCCTGCCTCTGGGAACAACTGAATAGTTGTGTAACTGCTAAAATTTGAGGTAGTTACACAGCTATTCAATTACACGCTAACATCGCTAAGATGGACAGCTCGGGAAACCAATGTGATGAAAGCACAGATCTGAGCCACTAAGCAGAAGAGATAAGACCTTGCATGAGAGGCAGCAAAGAGGCAGGTGAGCAGAAGCGACTAGTTGAGGGACTAGTTCTTTACATCCCTAGCATTAGATAGAGGTTTTTGAGTGGGGGGAAGATAGAGGAAAAAGCAGAAGATCATCAATCCAGAAGACCACTACCAAAGGCAAGAGACCATTAACCACACACAGCAGAGAGATCATGGATAGTGTTAGAGACAAACTCATTTTTATATTTTTCCCCACAGCCAACGTTTGCATTCCAGCTTCTCAGTGGATCATGCACTGGACTGGGACTAAGAAGAATTGAGTTATTTTCCTAGTTCAGACAATAACTTGCTGTATGTCCTAGGAAAAAAATCACTGGACTACTACTTCCTCTTCCTTCCCCCCATATCTTATTTTTAGGACAGTCATCCTCTGTTACCTCCTCTTTCGGAACTGCTTAACAGAAGGTCCCCCAATCTTGGCAGAGGCCCACACAATCTTGTATAATAAATTTTGTATCTGAGGAAACTGATGACAAGAGTTGGGTTTTAATAGTTACTATTAGGGCTCTATGTTTGTCGTGGAGATCACATAATCCATGACTTCCTACAACCTCTGAACCCTCCTTTGCCCTGTGCTGACTGGCTCTTGGCTCCAACCCTTCCCGCCCTCCCAGTCGCATCATCTCAGCTTTGCTCTGCACATGTTTCCATCTCCTCTCCTTCCCTGCCCTTTTTCCATTTATCTGATCCCCTCCTAATTAAGCTTCTCCCCCACCCAAATATAATATTATGTAACTAACATGACCTTTGACACCATCACACTATTAACTCTACTGGTGTGTCACATCCCTTCCCCTGAGCTACATTTTTTTCATTTGTTTAATACCTAGCACAAAGGAGTTCTGATCCATGACTAGGGCTTGAGTGGTAAGTTATTATGAATAAATGGGAAAAAAAAGGAGTATGGGAGAACCATTGGGACAAATGACTTGTTACATTTTTTTCCTCATGTACTAAGCTAATTTACTTACTTTCTGTCAAACTAATACTCATGAAATTCTTTGGGGCTCCCTGTGTCCATTCCCAGACCAAACTGAAGTTCAAGGCCCAACCTAGTGGATTACTAAAAGTCGATTAGTGGTGGTCCATGGAGATGACAGTGAGGTACGGATAGATCATGTCAGAATCACCATAGCTATTTCTCTTTTCCATGGTTCTCTCCTTTTTAGCAGTCTGTTTCTTTCCCTTTCCCCACTAGCCTGTACTGCCAGCATCAGAAGCGATGGAGAGAGAAGGAAAGTTTCAAGACACGTGAACCTGGTATTGCCACCACACACACTTGGAATGCAAATCACAACTTCATTGTTTAGTTTTATGACAATGTTTTACAAAAATGTTTTCAGGATAATCTGAATTCTAAGGGATACAACTGCAATAGAAAGTCTGTAAGTTAGAACGGTCCAGACAACCAGGGGCTAAATGCAAGATTATCTGTCGCTTTAGTTTTTGGAAAACCAACATTGTATTCAGTTAGGTGAAAAACTATAAATGAGTACTTGCCTTAGATAAAAGGTGGGCAGTATACTGCTGTGAGGTGGCAAATTTTTCACAGCATACCACACAGGTAACAATATTGGTTGGAGGTCCATGCAGTGTAATTGCTGGGTCACATGGAGAATGATCAAACCTGTAAAGAAAATAATTACCAACATAATTAGCTCACTCTGTAAGTAACAGAATGGGGGAGGGTTGAGAGAAAATGGTGTAATTTGAAGAAACAGGCAAAACTACAATCCAATACTGCTGACTTTCCATTAAAGCAGAGAACAATACAAGACTGTTAAATATATAGCTTCATTTAGTATTAGCCATGTTAATTCAAATATGTGTTACAAGGTGTGGTCACAATGGAAGTAGACTCACTTCAGTGGCGCTTTGGAGAGGGGAAAAAACAGACATGCTTAAGCAGTGGAACCCCCAATCTGAATTTGAATGCAACTGCTGAAAGAAATATTGGGAAAAATTCCTTGCATCAAGCCTGCAAAATATCTGTCATAATACATGGACAGCTTCTCTCCACAAGGAACATTGGGATTATAGGGAAGGACAATAGATGTTTGATGTAACGTAACACCCTAGGATTAAGATGGCTCAGTGATGTTCTCTATTCTCATCTACAATCAATGTTCTTTACCTTTTCAGATGACCTAACAGAAGATGACCATTATCAAACTTCCTGTTGCAGTGCATTACAGGACATAAAATGGGACTGCTGTTGATTGGTGTTTGGCCAGTTTTGTGGGTTACAGCTTTTCTTCCTGTGTTAATGGTGCCTGGTTTGAGACCTGCATTTAAGAACAAAATACCCAAGTATACCCAATTGTGATTATATTTCAGAAGACTTTTTTTAATCAAGCATCCAAGGACCAGATTATACTGACAAGACAATACAAAATAGTCAAGCTGCACATGAGGAAGTTTGATATCTTTAGAGGGTTTTCAATCCTTCTACTTAGAAGATTAATTTTACAGTTTTCAACTGTTATGAGAAAAGTGTGATTTGTACACTGCATACAACTAACTTCTTTTCTATATATACACACCATATGATTTAGTAGGGTTGCTCTTTGAAATCTCCTTTGAACTTCCTTGTGTCTGAAGTGTACTTACTGACACTTAAGTTTATATAGAGAAAAATATTTCTCTTCTGGGTCTCCTACTAGAGAAAGTCATACAATACAAAGTTTTCCATCCAACAATTCTGCCGTTGCAAGTAGCTATGTATTGCAGTATTATTACCACTGGGAATATTACATTACAGTTATTTGACTGTATTTGAAGTCAATGTATTTGAAGAGAATTCTTACACCAATTGTTATGTGGGAAATTTTCAATGCCACATTGCACAAAACTGGTATTAGAAGATTTGGGGATCTCTTGGGAGTCATGTATCCATGAACTGCTGACATTGTTAATTCGAAAGCTTCAGAGGAGTAGCTGTGTTAGTCTGTAACTGGAAAAACTTACACAACAAATAGCCTAGCAGCACCTTAGAGACTAACAAAACACGTAGATGGTATCATGAGCTTTTGTGGGCACAACCCACTTCTTCAGATGAATGGAGTTATTAAAGGCTACTTTAGGGATGTGAAGGACTAGTTGCTTCCCCTCCCTTGCTGCCTCTATCTGATAGAGGCAGTAAGGAGCAGGGGGAAGAAGAAGGGGTACTTCAAAGCGGCAGCACTGCACGGAGCCCAGGGTCAGCTAGGATCTCCCCAGCTGATCTTGGGCACCTGGCAGTGCTGCCACTTTGAAATACTGTGGGGAGTCCAGCCTCAGGCTCCTCACGGCAGTTCAAAGAGGCAATGCCACGTGGAGCCTGGGATCAGCTGGAGACTAGAGATGCGAAGGACTAGTCAACAAGCTTGTCGAATAGTCGCTCCCCGCCCCTTTGTTGCATACTAAAGAGGCAATGCCACGTGGAGCCTGGGATCAGCTGGAGACTAGAGATGCGAAGGACTAGTCAACAAGCTTGTCGAATAGTTGCTCCCCGCCCCTTTGTTGCATCAAAGCAGCAGCAACGTGTGGAGCCTGGGCCAGAGCCTGCTTTGAAATGCCTCCTCAAGATCCCAGTGTCAGGCTCCTCCCAGTGTTTCGAAGTGACAGCACCACATGGAGCCCGAGGACAGCTGGGGACTCCCCCACTGACCTCAGGCTCCACGTGGCACTGCTGCTTTAAAACGCCATACCAATTAGGTGGTACTTAAGAACACTTAGTACCTTCTCTATCAACTTCATGTAGCATGGACACTCTGACTATTCTTTTCCCTTTTTTAACCTCCCCCTTCTTTTTCCTTCTCCTCGCCCATTCACTATTTATTTAGAAACTGGGCCTTTAATAACTCCCTTCATCTGAAGAAGTGAGTTGTGCCCACGAATGCTCATGATACCATCTACGTGTTTTGTTAAGTCTCTAAGGTGCTGCTAAACTATTAGTTGTTTTGCATTGTTAATTCAATTATGTCTTGTGCAATGTAACATTTAAAATAACCTGTATGGAGTGAATTAGAAGTGGTATCATATTTCTGGAACAATGTTCCTGCTCTGATGCGTATTCACTGCTCAACTGTTTTAAGTTCCATATTTTAAATTTCCACCCTTTCTAATGAAATACCTGGCATTTTAAGCCACTGGTCCACACAATATCTTGCTGCTTCTGTGTTGCTATGTCCTCGGATAAATTCCAGCTCTTGCAATCCATGAGCATGCTGTGAATCTACTTTTTCCTAGAGGGTGAACAGATTAGATAAAAAGATAATGAATTGTCTTTATTATGATTAGATGCATTGAATTAGCTCAAGTTAACACTCTATATTCAAACTGGATGAAAATTTCTGATTCACAAGAAAAATTCTAGAATAGATACATTCCACTGAATTATGAAACAGAATATCTATGCTCAGACTAAAGTAAATGAATAAATGATGGTTAATTTCCAAGTCTTCAGTGAAGTAGACTCTTGAAATTTGACACACATTTACTAATTACAAGGGTAGACAATAAATACGTAAGTATATCTGCATATATTTAGGTCATAAAACTGGAAGGGACCCTGAGAGATCATCGAGTCCAGTACCCCACCCTCATGGCAGAACCAAGTAAGTCCAGTACCCCACCCTCATGGCAGAAGCAAGTACATCTACATGTTTTATTAGTCTTTAAGGTGCTGCAAGACTATTCTTTTTTTAAGTTTTTCCTGTTACAGACTAACTCGGGTACCCTCTGAAGCTTTTATACAAGGGTAGAGTTAGCAGTAATGGAATGTAAGAAAGGAGGAGAGATAAAATTTTAGCTGTTAGTAAATATTAGGACAATTTTTGTGGCATCAAATGCTTGTGGTTGCTTACCCCAGAAAAATGTTTTTTTCTCCAGAAAGTGTGTAGATACAAGGCAGCTTCTAAGGGCATGTCAGAGACAGTACAGAGACGATCAACCCTCTGGAAGCTGATCTTCTAGCATTCCATATAGCAGGTCTAATGTAGACCCCTAAATCCAACGCTGAGGGCAGCCCTCACAGGCATTCGGTACTCCTCGTTCTGCGAGGAGTATGGGTAGCTGGCAGGACACTAGGGCAGTTCAGCTTAAGATAAATGGAATTCAGCTGTTTGCATAGCTGGATGGCATACCTTAAGCTGACCTGCCTGGTCTAGTATAAACCAGGCCTATCTGTCTTGTTTTAGTTAATCTTACAATTTCTTTTGAATTTACCTATCTCTGTTTCTGTGGGAATTATGCTGATGCAAAATCAATGTTCCCCCATTGCAAACTTGGTATAATTACAATGATTAATTTAGTCTTTCCGGTGCATACAGCATTGAGTCACATCTAAATCGATCTGTCTGGTCATCTGTCTGTACTCCATTTCTTCTGGGTAATTTGGACCAGATGTCCCCATTCTGTTTAAACGATACGTTTGGAACCCCAAAGTCTCTATTTTTGACTTTTTTTGGGTGCAAGTGAAGAGCTTCTGAAACTGTTGCCACTACTAAGGCTTGGGTTTGTGACATCCAATAAAAACAACAACAACAAAAATCCAGGACACCCTTGTCCTCTAGGGAGAGGAGCACATCCAGACTCCTCTCTCCAATAGCTCCAAGATATAGCTGCAGTTATCACAACAAATGAAAAACTTAAGTTACTTCACAACAATTTCCTGTGCTGAAGCAAAGCCAAGGAGCTGCAATAAAAAAAGAAAGTCACATACAAAGGAACATTATCTTTGGCAACTCATATTACATGAGCCTATTCTGAAAAGGAGGATACAATTTTGCCTAGAAAGGCTCCACTAATCCCTGGTTATATCAGACAGTCTCATCGTGGGCTGCAAGCAAGCCAAAATGGTAATGGTCTCAAAACCCTCAGGACTAGAAAAGATGTCAAGTCCCCTAGATGTCCCTTTTGAAACAGCAGACAGCCCAGAAGCAACAGAAAATAATGATGAAGGGAACTCATCTTCTAAATCTCATTTTAATCACTATGTTTCCTTGATATGGGTTTTTAGGGGTCCTGTGCACTCCCTTCTAGATTCTGACTGCATGATGCCATACTTTTATAATTAGGGCAGTTTTGCTACAAGCAAGTGCAGAAATAAATATCCATTTTTACACTCCTTCCCTAGAGTTCCACTCAATCACTCTTTCACTGTCTCCAACCTTCCACCACCCCAATAGACTGGTCTCTAAAAAACAATACTTGCCTTCACCATTATCCACTCCACCCCTACATCGCTTAGGCTCCCCACTCTTCAAAAACACTATGGGTATGTCTACACTGCAGAGCTATTTCGGAATACGATAAGTATTCCAAAATAGCTATTCTGCATCTATTGAAGCAGCCCATTATTCTGAAACAGATTTACGAATGTCCCGATTAAGGGGTATTTCAGAATTTAAAAAAATTTGAAATAAAAGTTTGAAATAACTTGAGCAAATTACTAGGTTACATGGACAGTTGGGAATGAGGTCAGAGCACGCTAACAGGAAATGATCACAAGAAAAATATGTCTCATTCTGCTCCACAGCTTCTCCTATTCATCTCTAACGGGAAGCAGAATCACAGAATTAGTGGGGGGAGGATATTGTTCTTTTGTAATTATTACATTTAATAGGCAGAATGCATGTTGCCCTACATAAAACAAGATCTTTTTAATTTAAGAAATATTGTAAGAACCAGCCCACTACTACCTTTCTACTAAATGACACTTCTGCAGAGGAACAGAAACAAATTTTGCAAGTTTTCCTGGGATGAGGCTCAGCATTTTTTTTAAACCACAAAGCCACTAGATACCTTGTAGTGGGACCTACGGTTCCTACTGCATGTATAGTTTCCCAAGAGCCTATCACGTCAAATACAGCAGGATGATACCATTTTGTCCCAATAGCAGCATGATTCTTAGAGAAATTCCAAAATTGGTCCTTAAGCAGTAACAAGATCTAGCTTGTCATACCTCTTGCCATCTCATACTTAGATGGGGAGTCCAACGTCCTTGCCAACAAACACTGCTAGACCTAGTAGCCCTGTTGCTATGGTGCATGGTTGTAGTACTCCACTCATCAATACTAGAAAAACTCTAGTGTAGCTGAGACCACCAGAACTTTGTAATCATGTTTATATTACAACAATATTTAGAAGTCAGGCCCTTATTTTCTTGGGCAGTGTACAAAGATACAGTCCCTGCCCCAAAGAACATTCTTTCCTCTGGGACCAAAAAAGTCAACTTGACCAGATCAAGAAATAAAATGTTCTAATTTAATTCAGTCAGCATAACAAAACTGCATCAGTGACACTAATGGAGAATCCCTGCTAAATTACACTTCTTTTCCAGTGTCCAGGCTGTTAAAGGAAGGCACTTCTAGTCCAGATGAAGGCTCTGCTTTGAGAGGTATGATATTTTCTACAGTTCCAGTGGAGGTTTCTTGCTTTTTTTAACAAGTGCATAGAGCCTTCTGGCCCAGTAAGGGTGACTAAGAGGATGATGATTTCATGTTTCCATTTACTTTTTAAAAAATCTGTCCTTTATGTGAAATTATCTTGAAATGCAGCAGATTGTTGTTTTTTAAGTTCATCCTGTATAGACTAACTCAGCTACCCCTCAAAAGGAAATCATGTCCTGGGTAGAGAACAAATAGAATGGTAGTACTTTAAAGACTAACAAAACATGTAGATGATCTCATGAGCTTCCATGGGCACAGCCCACTTCTTTGACAATGTAAACCTCTGATTACTCTCTAGTTTTGGAAGGGACTTAAACATTTATGCCTCAATTATAAATCAACCTCTTTTGGGAGGTAGGAAAAGATTTCCCTGGGGACCACTGTAACTGTGTTCTACATGGCTTCTTGCATCTTCTTCTGAAGCAGCTGGTCCTGGACAGCATCAGACAGGATACTTAACATCATGGACTGCTGGCCCAATTCATATGGCTATGCCCATATTTTCTTTCATAAACAACACAGAGCATCTGAACTGAAAGAATGTACACTGATTATGGAAATTTGTCTCTTAGAGAAAGTCTACACGTAAAATGCTACAGTACCATGAGTACGCCCAACATTTTAATTAACCTACCTGGCCAAGAGATGATAGCTAGGTTGATGGAAAAATTCTTCCATTGATGTAGCGCTGTCTACACCAGGAGATAGATCAACATAACTACATCTTTAAGAGGTATAGATTTTTCACCCCCTGAAAGATGTAACTAAGATGACAGAAGTTTCCAGTGTAGACTAGCCCTTGTTATACTCCCCACACTGTGACCCTTAGAGAATATGCAAAATTTAGCATGAACATGGGTTGGCTTTCAGCATGTCTGTGCTTAGCTGTCCAAAAAGAGACATTCAGACATGAACTATAATGACTAAAGGCTTAGATAATATGCCTAACAGTAATAGACATAAAGAGTTCAATCTATTTCGCTTAATAAAGAAAAGATTAGGGAGCGACTTCATGAGAGTCTAATAGCATCTACATGGGGAACAAATTTGATAAGTGACTCTTTAGTCTAAGAGACAGAGGTATCACAAGCACCAGTGGCTGGAAGGTGAAGTTACACAAATTCAGTCTGGAAATAGGGCATACATTTTTAATAGTGAGGATAATTAATCACTGGAACATTTTACCAATGGATGTAGTACATACGCCGTCACTGGCAATTTTACAATCAAGATTACATATTTTGCTAAAGTGTTCTAGTTCAAACAAATTATTTTAGAGAAGTTCTACAGCTGATGTTATATGTGATATGAGAATAAATTGTTACAATTGTTCCCTCTGTCTCCTCAATTTATGAAATAGGGTTACCAGGTGGCTTTAAAAAAAAAAAAAAAAGTCACCCACCCAGACACACTTGATCTCAGATGGGACGGGGGACCGGCCAGGAGGGGAGTGGGGCTGGCCTGGAAGGAGGGAATGGGGAGAACCAGCCGGTGAGAAGTAGGGCTGGCCGGGAGGGGGTTGGGAGGAGCAGAGCTGGCCGGGGGAGATCAGGAGGAGGAGGGGGGGAGAACCAGCCAGCAAAAAGCAGGGCGTAGTCACGTACTGCCTGGCTGGTAGACACACTCACGCAGTGTGAGCATGTCTACCAACCAGACAGTTTGCAACTATGTACCGATACTCCTAATAATAATAATTATACACCTAATTAGAAATACTGGACATTTTATATGTCCGGTATTTTCTCAATTGTTTCCCGGACAGATTCCTCAAATAACGGACTGTCCAGTTCAAA